ATATTTTATAGTTTTATTCAGAATGAATTAAAAGTAAATTCAAGGCTGTCGAGTTATTTTAAAGATGTAATACGCTTTTTCGAAATATATGGTTAATAATATGGATATAGTCACAGGTGGACATATACATCTACAGCCCAGCTAAAAGAAAAATACATAATAATTTTATTCATGATTATTGGAGACCAATAAGTGCCTGTGATGATAAGCACAAACAAAACAAAATGTTTTCATTGCTTTTATATAGAGTAAGATCTATGGTAACAAACTACATTAAAAAAAATTTGCTGGCAAGTTGTTCTAAGAATATATGAATTTATAAAATTAGACAATTTTGCCAAAAAATTGCATTTTTAAAAAAAATCCCAAAGACCATTTAGGGCATCAATAACTAAATGTGTCCTATATGGTTTAAAAGAGAAATATTTTCTTAACAATTAACAGTTTGTTTAATGTCGATAGCTTTATTAGCAAAAAAAGTACATTTTTTTAAAGTTAGGTCTGCATAGTAACTTTTGCGTAGCCCTGTATAAATAGGTGATAGGGGGAGAAAAGAAAAGGGGAGTTTTTTTCACTTCTTGGGTCCATGTCTATTTACAGTTAAAAAAGAAATAAAATTAGAGTACATGAGGTGCACTCATTGGTGGCTAATACATGGAATTACCCATATGCTCTTTTTAGAGATTTAAATTTTATTTTTTACATTTCTGAAATTAACAATGGATTAAAAAAAAGGAAAACTTTGATTAATTATAATTATTTCTTAGTAATTTATAGCAGGACGGAATGCCACGGAATTTAATAACATTGAATTGGAATTGCAATTTTACTGTAAAACGATACATTTACAAAAAAACATTATAAAGACTTTTACTAAGTTTATTAGGAAAATTAATATTATTTTATTAATTCTTAAATTATAATTTAAGAATTATTAAAGGTTTCTTTTAAAATTTCGAAAAAAATTATCTGTTTACAATATTGCAATAAACAAAATCTGATTGAACAAAATTATGGTCAAAAGGCAAACAAAAAGTTTTAATTTGTCGACCAGTGTTAATTTATCATTTTTAAAATTTTGTGATTTAGCAAAATTCTTTTTGTGAACACTATAGATAAAGTAAATATAAAACATTTATTAATTTTTTTTATATTTAAAAACATAAATATAAATATTGTAGGGGGCTAATGTATCACCCCGCAAAGTCCGTATTAAAATATTCCCTTAAAAAATATTAGGAACGATATTTTTACTTAATCATTTCAACTGGACTCATATTGAACTTTGCTGTGTTTGATATTAACCCCCTAATTTATTAATATGTTGATCTGGATACATAGATTTTGATAATAGACTTAAAAAAATGATACCCGTGTCTCGGCGTTTTTTCAGATCACGTCATTTTTTTTTAAGTGCGATCCAATAAAATGTATTCGGCACATAATATAACAGATTCGATAACAGCTGGACAGTATATTTTTATGAAAAATTCACTGAACAAATGGACAACCATTAAGATTATTTATTTATTTTAAAATTATTTTAATTATATACACGGTGTTGCACATTTACGAAATACGGTAATGCGTGTTTCACGTTCGTGGTCCATTGAGAGTTTCTAAGGAACGGCAAAAGATATCGATTTGAAATTTGTAAAGCGTTTATTATCCAATTAGGCCTATTTTTCTAAAATATTTTAAACAAAATGCCACTTCCGGCTTGACCGAAAGTGACATCAACTATGTTATTTTAAATGGAACACCCCATATATTTTTACATTTTTAAATTGTACATAAAATTTGGAGTAAAATTACTGTAAGTAGTTTTGGATTTATTAATTTTTTTCGTTAAAATATGACAAATGCGCGTCAATCAAAAATAGCCTATAACTTGCTTGCTATTAGGTTTTCAGAAATGGGGGTGGAATTTTTGGAATCTTAAAACATTGTTTAAAAGATTCCATGTCAAATGTTACGTTTAAAATAAAAATGTTATTAACGTTTCAACTTAGCCCAATTTGCCCTGGGTTTCTCGGGTAATTTGTTAAAAATGTTAAAGAATTGACATGGAATTTTTTAAATAATGTTTTTAGATTACAAACATTTTACCCCCATATCTGTAAACCTAATAGCAAACATCTAGAAAACTATTCACTTTAGGTATAGGACATGGTATAGTAATTTTACTCAGAATTTTATGTAGAATTTAAAAATGTAAAAATATATGGGGGTGTTCTATTTGAAATAACAAAGTTGATGTCACTTCCGGTCAAACCGGAAGTTGCATTTTGTTCAAATTATTTAAAAAATATACTAAATAAACTGCGCACCACTCAATGTGTCGCGACCAAAAAGTTCGTCCTTTTTCAAAACGAAATAACTTTTTTGTTTCTTAAACGATTTTATTTTGGTCTGTGATGTCTGCTAACCACATCCTCTGGCAATTCATGCTATAGATATTAAGCATACAGTTCTTCAAGTAAATTTCCTACAGGGTGATATGTAAAACGGTGAAAAATTTCAATAACTTCATCCAAGCCCCGTTTGTAAAACAATAATTTTTTTTTCGTTTTTACTTTGAAATAATGTAGTATTATGTGTTACCTTGAAACATTTTTCAAATTTTTTTAATTGGAATCTTAGCAACGAAAATATGATTTTTTTTCCAAAAGAGTACATCTAAGGCTTTTTGGTAGGCAATATATTCAGTCTTTTTAAGAACAAGAAAATAAGATGGTAAAAGATTGTTCCTTGAATAATTCTGAACAAGCGACAAGCAACAAACTTCCATTATTTTCAGAGGGGCCTAAGCAAAGACCACTTTTTCAAAATGACATTTTGGTGAACATTTGCGAAAACTAAACCTGAACCGATATTTAAGTTCGAGACATGTTTTCTTTATAATTTTGACCTCCTGATTGTGATTCAGTTGTCAAATTTAAGTTTCAGATAAAACCAAAATCATCAAGAATCAAAATTCGAAAACAATTCCCTGTTGTTAAATGTCTTAATAAAATCCGATTGCTGTCGTGTTTCTTGCATATTTATGATAAAAATACCATTCGGGGATTCATTTTTTGGGCGAAATTACTGCAATTTGTTTGAGTGGTTAGGATAATGTTACATAACTTACATTTACATTGCGCAGTAGTGATAACATCATTGATAAGTACCTACCTAATTTATAATAAAGTAAATAAAAATATGTTTGTTCATTTTTGAAAATTGTATGCGTAGATATAATCATAATCAAAACTTCAACATTCAACAGAAAAATGTAACAAACAATAACAATAATACCTTTATACAAATATTTCGTTGGCCCTCCCCTAAGCCGTAATAATTCCTTAACCCTCCTGGGCATTCCCTTGACCAAGTTCCTTAGAAATTTCTGGGATACCCCATTCTTCCTAAATAGCATTTACCAATTCATCCAAATTTTCCATGCCTCCCTCCCTCTCTTTCATCTTCAATGTTATCCTGCTCCACACATGCTCATTTACGATATGTAAAAAAACATTAAAAACCAGCAATCGGACAGCCGGGAATTGTTTTCGAATCTTGATTCGTAGTGATTTTGGTTTTATCTGAAACTTAAATTTGACAACTGTTTGTTGCTTGTCGCTTGGTCAGAATTATTTAAGGAACAATCTTTCACCATCTTATCTTCTTGTTCCTAAAAAGACTGAGTGTATTACCTAAAAAAAAAGCCTTAAATGTACTCTTTTGGAAAAAAATCATATTTTCGTTGCTAAGATTCCAATTCGAAAAATTTGAAAAACGTTTTAATGTAATACACAATTCTTCATTATTTCAAAGTAAAAACGAAAAAAAAATATTTTTTTACAAACGGGGCTTGGATGAAGTTATTGAAATTTTTCACCGTTTTACATATCACCCTGTAGGAAATTTACTTGAAGAACTGTATGCTTAATATCTATAGCATGAATTGCCAGAGGATGTGGTTAGCAGACATCACAGACCAAAATAAAATCGTTTAAGAAACAAAAAAGTTATGTCGTTTTGAAAAAGAACGAACTTTTTGGTCGCGACACATTGAGTGGTGCGCAGTTCTGCCGTGCTTAATGAAAACGCCGTAACCAACAATTTTGAGATTTTTGTTTTACGGCATTTTCTACTAGAACAATTCATCCTGCGTCTATCCCCGGTACTCAAAAAACCGTATATATATAGATACGGTTTTTTGAGTACCGGGGATAGACGCAGGATGAATTGTTCTAGTAGAAAATGCCGTAAAACAAAAATCTCAAAATTGTTGGTTACGGCGTTTTCATTAAGCACGGCAGAGTTTATAAAGGCTTTTAAATTTCAAATCTATATTTTTTCCGTTCTCCAGAAACTGAAACACCCCACGGTGCGGTTTAAAAAAGTTAGATGTAAAGTTCGAGAACCACAAAGTTTTAAACAGGGAATGATTCTACATCGTTTCAATAAATAATTAATGAAAAAAATAAAATATTTTCCTGAGCGCATTTTTTTTTCGCCTCATTAAATATAAGAACATAATTTAAGGGGTTAGATACACTCACAACGCCAAAAAAGAGCAATTTTTACGGTTTTTCTTTCAAAGACTGGTTTATTCATTTTGAAATAAATATTTTGACGAATTTCAAAAAGTTACAATAATCACAGGCGCCTGTTTTCTCTCGACTTAAGTGTGTTTTGAGACGTCAAAAGTTAGTTATTTATTAAAGTTTAATAAAATTTAAATAATGAAACCAATAAATTTAACTCGTAAGCAAGTGCTTTCACATAGTGAGTGTCGTTTAAAGTTATGTTTATTTTGTAAAACGAAGAAGGAAGTTCTTTTCGAAATAACCGATTCTTTAGAAAAAGTAATAAATAAATATATTACATACAATAGTAATGATGAACGGTTACCAAAGGCACTGTGTGCAAATTGTAAAAGAAAGCTATATATAAAAGAAAAATCTTGTAATGCATATACTATTGTAATGCCAGATTATTTAAAGTACATAATGATGTGTAATACTCGATCAAGTTCTGGAAAATCTTGTGGATGTAAATTATTTGAGTTTAATTTTTCAAAAATAAAATGTAGTAAGATTAATGATAAAAAGCTTAGGAAAAAAATCAAACCTACGAACCGTAAATGTGTGGAGTGCTTAACAGTTATCGGACTAGGTAAACGACACACGTGTAATAAAATTGAATTATTTAAAAACTTGAATTTGTTAGAACATAAACAGAAAGAACATTTGGCATGTGATATAATAATGGAAAAATTAAATAATGAAGCAAGTGAAAACAAAGACTCAATTTTATTGTCAAAAAGTCGGGGCAAAGCAATGTCAGTTCATCTTTCTCAAACTAAAAATGATAATGCAATGTTAATATCTGCTGATAGTATGTCTAAAATTAGTACTAATTTTGGACTGTCAACAAACGCAACTTTAGGAATTGCCCAAACTCTTCTCATTGCAACAGGAGAAAGAAAATTGTTTGAGATAAATTTAAAAGAAAAATTTCAAGCTTTGAATCATTCTCTTGACTCTCACTTTGACGTAACAAAATGTCAATTGATTAGCACTAAAGCAGGCAAGTAACGAATACTGAAGAGTACCTTGTATTTTGTAAAAATGTTCAAAAATTGATTGACGAAGTAAAAGAATGTCGTGAAGTAAATCAAGAACATATAAAAATGCTGCGAAAAAGTTCAGGATTCTGGAGTAAATAAATTATTTTAGGGCTGTGCCTTCGGCTTGACCTTTCGGAGATTACCCTGCTGATTCTTTTTCATAAACACGCGCCAATACCTACCTTATCATGTTGCGGAAGCTACAGTCAAACGGGCAAGGTCCTCTCTCCCACCATTCCAGTTCTTTTAGCCGGCTAGGGACGGGGCTAGACCTAGCGTCCCGCTCTTCTTCAGTACGCTGTTAGTTCTTGAGTAGTAAGCACTGCTGTCAACGAATCTCGTAATTTTACGATCGTTTAACGCTTTTGTAGCGTTCGGATGTTGTGTATTACCTTTGGTTCCAAGTGAAGTGTTTTTCTTGGTGTGAAGGTAAGTTTTTTCTTTTATTATGTGTAGGAGCTACGTAGGGGCCGATCATGAGTTTCTCGTGCATGCCCTAAGTTAATCCAATGAAGGTGATTATTTTACGCTAATTGTTGGCAATTGTGCTGGCTGATCAGCCGTCACCGCAGGCGTCTTGCTTTAACAGCGCATCCATAGGCCTTCGCTGTCACAGCCGTCGGCTTGTCAGCCGCAGCCGTTTGGCTCGCCAGCCGCAGCCGTCGGCTCAACAGACGCAGCCGTTCGGCTCGTCAGCCGCAGACGTCGGCTCATCAGCAGCAGCCGTTTGGCTCGCCAGCCGCAGACGTTGGCTCATCAGCCGCAGCCGTTTGGCTCGCCAGCCGCAGCCGTTCGGGCTTGTTGGGCCAGAGTGCAGCCCTCACAACCTAACGATTTATTTCAAAGTGGTCGGTCTTTTACCGACTGGGGCAAGCAGATGAGTTTTCTAACGCTACTCTCTGTTTTTTCTAGATTGCGCTTTCAAACAGCTTTATAAAAATTTGTGATTTGTTTAACGAGTCAGCGGAGGTTGCAAATTAGAACAGAGTTCTAGATAAATTGAAGGAGTTAGCCCAGGAGCACTTACCTGAAGGGTGGACGGAGTGGAAAGTATCACAGCTGTCAAAGGAGCAGCTACTGGGGAGTTCTGTGGACCCATTGATCCTGAATAAAATTAGATTTGCCCTTCCTACTGTTGGGGTAGTAAAAGCCTTTATCCCGGAGGCAGACCATTTGTCGGAAAAGACATACAGAGATATCAAGGTGTCAATGTTGGAATAGGCGTTCTGCAGAGCCTTAATTATTAGTCCACCGGCTGTTGCTAATAGGATTAGGGGATCCGCGGCGCAAACGGAGATATTTAATCAAGCGGTTAGAAGCTTAAAACCCTTGCTAATTTCAAGGCAGGAGGCTTCGGACCAATTGGGTGAGTCAGAGTCCGATTCGGAGGAAGACACGACGGATTTCCACTTGAAAACGTCGCAAGCAACATTCTAAAGAGAAGCCAGTAAAAAAGGCTAGAAAAGATCGTGTGGGCATCCTGGAAGGTAAGATGGAGACCATGTTTGCCACGGTATGCGCTCATCTGGATGCCTTGACGGGGACAGCTTCGTCAACGGGGGAGTCGTCGGCTGGAGAGGAAGATTAGTCTGTTGTTATGAATTCAGATTTTGAGAGCTCCCAATCTTGGCAAGCGCCAGGTTTAGACATTGTTGATCCTCTGGATCTTGATTTTTTGCCAGAGGTTAAAGAGGCTGATCCGACCGTTCCGAAACCATATCCGGTTATTAAAGCAGAGGGTATTGCTTGTCAACGGTTCGGTTTGGAGTCTTGGAATAAAATAAGATATAAAGATGTGCAGAAACGATTACAGGCAGCACCAGTATTCGGAGCTCTCAAGGTCAATAGCCAATTGGGAAGCTTAGCTGTCAAATCTTTTGCTTCTAACTCGTTAGTAAAATTTGACGACACTTTGGGCACGATTTGCCATGGCCTTCTAAATCAGAGGAAAGCTCTGGCAGAAGCCTTAAAGAGCCTGACAGTTAAGCATCCGACAATGGGAGAAGATATTAAGTTATTATTAAATGATCCTAAATGGATGACTTGTTACAGTTCGTGTGTGCGCACAGAGCTGAGGCAATTGAAAATAGGCGGCAAGTCTTTAAGACAAAGACTGATTTTCAGTCGGCAAAATTAAATCAAATTCCTCCTTCGGCCACGCACCTTTTTGATGAGGTTAAATTGTCGGATTTTCTCAAAGATCAAGGAGGCTTTTTCCGTGTGTTCTCTTTGCGATCGGGTAGAAACGGGCCCAAATCCTTTACTCCTCAGCAGGACAATCGCTTAGGCAATAAGCTGCCTCCCAAAGCAAAATCTTCCAAGCCAAGGAGCTCTTCTTGGCGAACGCGATTAATTCCGCCTTCTTCTTCTGCATTTTCATCCAGAGATCGACGAGAAAGTCGAGGCTGTCATCCAAGAAAGTCGGTTGGATCTCGACGTCGTGGTAATGAGCGGGGTTTTTGACAGTTTTGTGGCAGGTCAGCTAAAGAGGTTCTTTGGTCGTTGGCAAGAGCTAGGAGCTCCTCCAGTCATTTTAAATGCCATAAAAGGTTATTCAATTCCCTTTCTAAAAAAACCTCCATCAGTTCCGTTTTCAACAGATCTTATAAGGAAGTTTTCCACAAATGTGTCGGAAACCATGTCAGAAGAGATCGAAAGTTTGATCAAGCAGCAGGTGGTGGAAAGTTCGGGGGTGCATTCAGGGTTTTTGTCCCAGTTGTTTCTGATTCCGAAACAGAATGGAAAAGTACGGCAGATCTTCAACCTTCGCCGTCTCAACAGTTACCTAAACCCCAAGACCTTTCGATTGGTGAACCAAACCAGGGTGCCGGATTTTTTGCAAGAAGGCGATTTTATGGGGAAGCTGGATATGTCCCAAGCTTACTTCCACATTCCGATAAAGGAGGGACATCGGAGATATCTCTCTTTTGCTTACAAAGGGAAGGTGTATCAGATGACGTGTCTGCCATTCGGCCTGTCCAGCGCGCCACTGGTTTTCTCTCGGATGAGCAATTGGTTGGCGAGTCGTCTTCGGTCAGAAGGAATTCGTGTTCTAGTTTACCTCGACGATTTTTTGTTATCTCACCAGGATGCAACAACCTTGGAGAGGCAGTTGGAGTACGCAGTGGGCCTGTTTCAGGACCTAGGTTGGAAGGTAAATCTGGAAAAGTCGGTTCTAAAGGCAAAGACGTCAGTAGAGTTTCTAGGCATTGTTTGGAACACCAGGAGAAACGAAATGAGTCTTCCCAGCGAAAAGATTCAGCTCATATCAGCGAGTTTGCGCCAGTTAATAAGCAAAGGCAGGTGGAGCTGGGAGTCGGGAAAGTCTTTGATAACCAACTTGGGGTTATATGCTCCGGCAGCTCTCGTGTTTGGGAGCATAGGTCTGTAGGTCTATCTTTCTCATACTTACATAATGGCCTGGGCGCCACCACAACTTTAAAGAGTATTATAACCTAAGGTTGTGGACTAAAAGTTAAACTCCAAAATTAGTTACTTACTTATATTTTAATTTATTATCATTATACTTTGACTGTGATATACTATCATAATACTTATTTAAAAATTAATAAAATTTATACCGAATAGCTATTGGTTTACACGTTAAAATAAAATATATATTAATGTTTCATAATTTACTGCTTCGCAGTGATGTGGTAAAAAAATTATTATTCATAAAAAATAAATGTTCATTAAAACCTGTTGTCCATATTCATAGAGAAATCCTGACATGCTTAATTCAAGCTAGATGTTGTAGTCCATGGGTCTATCCATGGTTGAAATCCGTTTAACCATAGGTCCCCACTTTCAGTGGTTCGAACTCGCGTTTATGCCAACCCTTGTGTCTAAGAAGGCAGATACCACGATGCAGGAAACCGACAGCTACGAAGAATCAACCAGTGACAGAATTTCTATCCTACCATGTGTATTCAAAAAACTTGTAGTAAAATTTGCCCCGGTGGGAAAACTTGTGGGAAAACTTACCCCGGTGGGAAAACCCTAATTGGAAAATCATTCGAATGAATATTACTTCCAAAAAAAATAAAATGTACTTACGAAGTTTATTCGGTTTTCTCAATAAAACATACTAAACAATATTACCATCAGCGGCTGAATCAAGAGTCCAAACATCGTTATGTAACTTTGCAACTATCTAAGAAATAGGATGACTAAAATAATCAAGGATTATGGAAAATTTATTAGATTGAACTCACCATGCTACTTTTTTAAAAAACCCAAAAAGAGGCCATCTACTTCTATTTTTACTACGTGCTATAACTACCAGTATTCATAGTACGGAATAAGTTATTCCAAATAACTAATTACTTAACAGATCGTAATTAAACTTCCGTCAGACCTCACAGATCGTCTACCCGAAAGCACGTTGCAAAGACGCCGTCGACCTCCCCACTCAAGTCTAGAAGCCGCTCGAACAATCCAGAACCCTGAGTGCGCCGACGCCGCGACCCAATGTTACCACTGTACTAAATACCAATTTACTGTAATAGTACTAGACTTAAATAGCATAATGAATTCAACCAAATAACGCCAAAAAGGCCAAAGCATTCAAAAAAGAAGAAAAACCAGATAACTATTAAAAAAACCAAAACCCTAAAACGAAGATTGCGGAACAAACCCACAAATGAACGGTGACAGTTCATGACATCGAATTTGAAGTTTGTGACCTTGCCGCTTTAATTGTTTTTAACAACAAGCCTTTAAGACCAAAAAGAAAACATAAAATACAAGTAAGCAACCTTAATTATAATAAAACAACCTAATTTACTAAGACACCTTGTCTATACTAAGTTAGGATTCCCAACAAAAAATATTTTAACCTAACACTTTATTTTAGCAGACACAAAACGAAAAATGGACCTAATACTGATTGTTTCAAAATTGAACAAACAAAACACACAAATCTACAATCACTGAACCGAAATTATGCCCTACACGTATTTAGAAAATAAATCATAAGGTGAATACCTCAGTAAATTAAAAATAAATCAAACCTTTCTCGGCTATCATAAAAACTAAAATAAATTAACCCTTTTAGGTCCCGTAAACTACAAAAATGAAGTCGTTTACCTAAGGACTCCATAGCAGAGATAAAGAAATAAACTAAATAATAATTACCGCTTAAAATACAATATACAGTGTGGACCAGTGAGAGCGTAATAAACCAAATTATACTTATACAGTGTTTACTTTAACTTATTAATAATAATACATGTAGCGTTACTATTTGTAACGTTACAAGGCAGGCTAGGTTTCGCATCGTTGGTAACTCCATTGGGGCGTCTTTTTTCGAGGCGTCTTCAGCGAGCGAGCAAGTGGTTGCCAGAGATCCAGCCGAGAAAGAAATTTTTCCTACCAAAGGAGGCTCTTGCCGATTGTCTATGGTGGACGAAGAATTTATTAGTCCCCGGAAAGATTTTTCTGTCCCAGCCAGTGATGTTCTTGTCAACGGATGCGTCGGATACAGGTTGGGGGTTTCAGATGAGCAAGATCCAGGCGTCCGGTGTATGGACTCAGATGCAGAAGAATTGGCATATCAACAGGAAAGAGATGTTCACCATCTTTATAGCCGTGAAGAAATTGAGGAAATTATTGGTGGGAAAGTCCTTGATGGTACAGTCGGACAACAGGACGGTGGTAGCCTACCTGAGAAATCAGGGGGGGGCAAAATCAAAAGTCCTCTTGGAAGTAGCAAGAGAGGTGCTGCTGTTGTCTCACAAATTCGGGATTTCTCTGTTTCCCTATTTTCTTCCGGGTCGTTGCAACACTGTGGCGGATCGGTTGTCAAGGGGCATGACCCTTCCCGACTGGCATCTAAAGTCAGAAGTGACGTCGATGATTTTTTCCAAGTGGGGAACCCCACAGATAGATTTATTTGCGTCGAGTCAGTCGAAAGTTGTTCCGAATTATGTGGCAATAGACGCGAGGGATTCTCATGCAGTGTTCATCAATGCGTTCAGCAGACCATGGAGGTTCAGGTTGGCGTGGGTGTTCCCACCGCCTCCTCTCATTCCGAGAGTTCTTCATCATCTGAACAAATCGTCAGGGATCTTCATTCTAATCGCCCCGCGGTGGGAGAACGTATTTTGGAGAGCGGATCTGAAAAGCAGGGCATTGGAGGCTCCGATCCTTCTAAGAAAGTTATCCCAGTGTTTAATCGATCTGTCCACCGACGTGCCTCCACCCAAAGCGGAAGATCTTCGTTTGGAGGTTTGGAGGGTACGGGGTGGTCTCCCTTAATATCAGGTTTGCCATCGGAGGATGTGAATCTCTTGCAATCCGCTTGGCGAAAGTCAACTTTAAAGACCTATAATTCTGCTTGGAAACAATGGGTGGCTTGGTGCCAGCAGTCGCATGTGAGATCAGATAAGCCGTGTGCATCCGAGATTTGTTCTTACTTATCGTTCCTGTTCAGGATAAAGAAGCTGGCTTTCTCGACGATTCTAGTCCATAAATCGGCCGTGATTTCCTTGTCCTCGCCGGAGAATGCTGAGCGTATCTCAGCTCACCCCTTGATTAAATCCATGTTGAAAGCGATAGGTCTTAGAGCTTCAGCCTCTTTGACGCCGAGGCAACAAATCTAGAACGTCTTAGATTTGGTGAATTGGTTAAAGTCTCACCCTCCGGACCCTGATAGTGTTTTCCGGGTCTCGCGTCATACTGCGGCCTTGCTGCTGTTAGCCTCAGGTCGTAGAGTTCATGACTTGACGCTTATTAGTTTGGATAAAGATCACTGCCAGCTGTCGGACTCAATCGTTACCTTTTGGCCTAAGTTTGGGTCAAAAACAGATAATAATATGAATCGACAATCTGGTTGGGAGCTTGGCAGTTCAGGAGATCGCCTGTTAGATTTGGTTAAGTGGGTTCACCATTTGATTCAAGTGTCAGCACCTAGAAGGAAGGATCAAGAAAATCTGTCATCTCTTTTTATCACTACTAGAGGGGAAGTAAAAGCTGCTTCTCGATCCATAATTGCTGGATGGTTTAAAAAGCCGTTTAAGGATCTGGGCATCGATATGGGTCCTGGTTCTATCCGCTCTGCAGTAGCATCGTTTGATTTTCAAAATAATGTTTCCCTGGACTCCATTCTGGAGAAAGGTAACTGGCGTGGTTCAGGGAATTTCTTTAAACATTATTGTAAGACGGTTCAAAAGCCAAGTGCACACATGAATGTTAGCTTAAGAGGGTCTTTCAAGGCGGTGTAAATAAAAATATTGTTTAAGTTAATATTTTAAAATATTATTTTCTCTTTGAAATATTGTATTATTTCGTTTTTTATATCAGTCTTGTTATTGCTAGTTTTATGATATTATTTCCAACGCTGTAATCTCTAATGTAATATTTGAGATGTTAAAATATAGTTTTAAAGAAATTTTATCGGTGTTTTGGTTTGATGGTTAACTAGAAATTGGTCACAGTACGCTGGTGCCGGCAGAGGATAAACACTTCTCCGAAAGGTCAAACCGAAGGCACAGCCCTAAAATAGAACCGTTTTCCACCCCAAAGGGCTAGAAAACGGATATTTTAGGTCTTGCCAAGGCCTTGCCGTCATTTGGGGGAGAAGGTACTGAAGAAGAGCGGGACGCTAGGTCTAGCCTTGCCCCTAGCCGGCTAAAAGAACTGGAATGGTGGGAGAGAGGACCTTGCCCGTTTGACTGTAGCTTCCGCAACATGATAATGTAGGTATTGGCGCGTGTTTATGAAAAAGAATCAGCAGGGTAATCTCCGAAAGGTCAAGCCTTGGCAAGACCTAAAATATCCGTTTTCTAGCCCTTTGGGGTGGAAAACGGTTCTATTTTTGATCGGCTTAACTCAATGTTCTGAAGAAAATCATAACAGGTATTTTATGGGATTTATTACGCCTAAAAGATTTTGATGGACAAATTTCAGCAGATTTGAAATTATTAAATATATTGATTGGTCTAATGTCTCACAGCAGCATGTATCCATGTGTTTGGTGTACCGCACACAAAAATAAGTTGAACGTTTTGGGTACTTTAAGAACTATAGAGAATTGTATTCAAAATTTTAAAGTTTGGAAAAAAATTAGAGGAGAGAAACAGAATTGTAAAAACTGTTTAAATTTACCTATAATTATTTAAATTTACCTATAATTTCATCAAATAAAGAAAAAAAATCATCGATTTAATTCCACCGCCCGAGTTACATTTGTTAATTGGAGTTGTAAATACATTATTTGATAATATGCATAAGAAGTTTGAAAATATTTGTAACCTGTGGGCCAAAAAGTGTAATGTAAGTCGAGAAATACTTTACGGAAATGCAGGTTTTGTTGGAAATTCGAGTAAAATATTATTGAACAATGTTGACATTCTACGTGAAATTTGCTCGTCAACAAGTAACTTTTCTTGTATGAAATATCTAAAATGTTTCGAATCATTCAAGAACGTTGTAGATTCTTGTTTCCCATTAAATTAAAAGAAGGATATCTTGAGAAGATTGCGATATTTAAAGAAAGTTATATGAGTTTAGACATAAACGTAACGCCAAAGGCTCACACAGTATTTTTCCACATAGAAGATTTTTATAAACAAAACGACAAAGGGTTAGGGTTTTATTCAGAACAAGCGGTGGAATCATCTCACTCAGACTTTAATAAAATATGGAATAAATACAAAGTAAAAAAATCGCATCCTCAATATGCAGAAAAATTACTTAAAGCTGTATGTGAATACAATAGTAGACACCTTTAATTAGTTTTAATGGATATATCAAACTTAGATATAGTTTAAAGAAAAAATTGTTCCTTTTTATAAAATAAAATGTGTTTCCTTTTTTTATGAAAAAATCTTTTATTACAAAAAAGGTCTAAAATGAATTAAATGTAACATAATATATATATTATATCAAAAGTATTCGTTATTTCGAAAATAACTTTCTTCTTCGTTTTACATAATAGACATAATTTTAAACGACACTTACTTTGTGATAGTGGTTGCTTATGACTTAAATTTATTGTTTTAATTTTTTAAATATTATTAAATTATACTAAATAGCTCGCTTTTGATGTTAATAATACTGAGTCTCAAGACACACTAAAATCAAGAGGAAACAGGCGCCTGTGATTACGTAACTTTTTGAAATAAGTCAAAATAACTGTCAATATTTATTTCAAAATAAATAAACCAGTCTTTGAAAAAAAAACGTAAAAATTGCTCTTTTTTGACGTAGTTAGTGTATCTAACCTCTTAAATAATGTTCTTATATTTAATAAGGCGAAAAAAAATGCGCTCAGGGAAATATTTTAATTTTTTTATTAATTATTTATGAAAACCATGTATTCCCCATTTATAGCTTTGGGGTTCTCTAACTTTATATCTAAGTTTTTTAAACCACACTGTGACCCTGTTTATCAAGTGGTGTTTTTAGGTTTGTCACATTACAAATATAACCAAATAACAAATAAATTTTACAAAATTTATCAAAAATTAGGATATTATAAAAAAACTACTTTTAATAATTAATACAATAAAAATTTGTCATTATTCCTGCAGACTAGGTATGACTAAATAAATGTACAGAAATTTCGGGTTTTTTCCGTGAATATTGTTAAACATTTTAAATTTCCTGCCTAACAACGTAAATAATAAACTCATTATTCACGTTGTTAGGCATCAGTTATTGGCCGATTTCAATATTCACTGTGATTTGAACCAATCGGGGTTTAAATTGGAAGAAGGCGACTATAATAACATTTAAAATTGATAAAAACTTAGGTTAACCATTTGACAGATGTCAGATTTTATTTATTTAATTAGTGCAATTAAATGTTTTTTATTCGGAATTTGGGTATTTAGTTGGCAAATTCTAGGGACCCTTAACTTATAATTGGCTACATTCAGTAAAACAAAATTATTTAGTAGATTTATGCAGCACAAATTAATTATGTTATGCTGTTTTGTTTTTAAAATTCCCTCGTGAAATTTCACACCCATTAAAGTGGGAATATAAATGTTAAAAATCGTAAATTGATATGATTTAATTAAACTTTATATAAAAAAATTTGGTTTTAAACTTAAAAGATAGGATGGAATAATTTTTATTATTTTTAATTAATTTTGTCAAAAATCTGCGTTTTTCAAATAATAATAATACAGGCTTTAAACAAAAAGCTTTTATTAAAATAGTTATGTTATTATTATATTTTATTAATATTTTGTATATAAGAAAATAGAAAAAACTAATAAAGTGCTACTGATGAAATAATTTCATTGAAATTTAAATTACTTATTACAACAAAATAAAAAAAAATGTTTTCTGAAAATGTTAGATTTTAAGTTAGTACCTTTTGAGATATTTCAGATTAAAAAAGCCCGATTTTGGACAAATCGCAAAATTTGGAATTTTTAGGCCTAATATATTAAATAAAACACAATAAAATAATGTTTTCCGAAAGATATTTCAAATTAGACATGTTTAGCTAATTTTTTAAATTCCTAAAAAACATATAAAGTCTTTGTGTTGAAATTTGATCCACTTATTACAACATAATAAAAAAAAATTATCTTCAAATTTTGGATTATTAGAGTGTGTACCTTATGGATTAATTAAAAATATGCCCAATTTTAGTCAAATATTTTAATATTTCTACTTTTAAAACATTCAACTAAAAAAGTTATAAAGTCTGATTAAGTGATTAAATTTAAACCGCTTATTACAACTTAATAAAGTATGTATGTTCTACCAGTAAAAGCTTTTGAATAATTTTTACAATTAATGTTTTGCCTTTTATATTTTTAAAAAGAATTTTTAATAAAAAATAAAGCTCATTGTGCACATTCTATAATACATTAAGTAATAAAAACAATTAAAAGTATTACAGCGCGCGGCAGCGTTAAAACTCTGCTCACTGCTTGATATTAAATAATATACCTACATATATAATAGTAAATTTAAGATTAAAATACATTATTTAAAATCATTAAAATATTAAGTAAAATACCTACACTAACAAATTAAAAGTTTATAAATTCATTAAAAGAGTAAAAACAGTTCTGGAGAAGAAAATCTTTTACAGCATATTTATATTCTGTAATTGATGGGATGTCCTTAATTTCATTTGGTAACTTATTTGTAACTTGAACAGATCTGTACAAAACGCTTCGATGATACAATTCGGAATAATGTGTGGGAACCCTTAGCAATGTACCTCCCCTGGTATGCATACCATTAAAAACATCATTATTTCTGACGAATAAGTTTAAATTTTGTCTCACAAACATCAAAAGATGGTAAATATATAGACAAGGCAGCGGTAATATTTGATGCGTTTTGAAATATTCTTTGCATGATACACTTCTGCTTATTTTTAACATTGCTCGCATAGCACGTTTTTGAGCAATAAAAACCGACTCAAATTTAACACCGGATCCCCAAAATATTATACCATAACTTAAAACAGACTGAACATAAGAGAAGTAAAATGTTTTTAGACTTTGTATAGTGACGTGGTTACCTAGATATCTTAATAGATAACTAGCAGAATTGACTTTTGATATGACAGTTTTAATTTGAAAGTCCCAACACATTTTCGAGTCTATTTGGAGTCCAAGAAACTTAACCACGTCATTATTTACAACTGTCGTTCCATCAAAACGGACAAGAAGGCTGCGCAAGTTAACATTAAAATTTTTATTAAAGACCATAAGTTGGGTTTTTGTTGTATTAAGCAATAGACCATTTTCCTTGCACCATTGAGACATTACACTTATTATATTTTCGGTGTATTTCGACAGATTGGGAAAGGCCCTGAAGTTTGACTGACAGATCATTAACATAGATTAAAAACAAGGTTGGTCCTAGTACTGATCCTTGGGGTACGCCTAGTTTAATTTGCAGTTTTTCAGACAAATAATTTACTTTTTGATTATTTTGTTCAGAATCTATGCTAACAACCTGAAATCTGTTTGAAAGATAAGATCTTATAAGATTAAGTGATGTGCCACGGAAACCATAGCTCTCAATTTTGTTTAACAGAATTTCATGATGGAGGCTGTCAAAGGCCTTTGACAAGTCAAAGTAGACTCCTGCGACCATAAATTTATTCTCTAGATTGCCTAGAATGTCATTAATAGATTTATACACTGCATGGGTAGTTGAGGTTTTTGGTAAAAACCCAAATTGCGTTGGAGATAACAGTTTATGACTTTTTAGATATGCAATAATACGCGTGTTTAGCAGTTTTTCAAATATTTTTGACATCACAGGCAACAGAGATATTGGTCTATAATTATTTATATTTGTAGGACCACCTTTTTTATACAATGGTAGTGTTTTTGCTATTTTTAAAGAGTCAGGAAATACCCCATTTGAAAAACAATAATTCGCAATATCGCTAAGAGGTCCTGCTATCTCTCTAGCTACTAATTTAATTATTGTAATTGGTATATTATCAATTCCTGTTGATTTTTTTGCTGGCATTGATTTTATAATGTTAAACACTTCATTGTAATCTGTCGGAATAACGAAGAAATTATGGTGAACATGGTGTGTCGAATCATTTATTTGTATTTCATTAGTATGCAACTTCAAAAATGTTTTATTAAAGAGATTTGCCAATAATTTTGGATCTTGAATTAAAACTCCATTATGTTCAATTTGCAAGTTTCCATTTTCAGTGTTACGTTTATTTGATAGCGAGTGGAAAATTCTCCAGGTTTCTC